AGAATGTTCAGCAACAGTTGCAGTGAGCAGTTGTAGAATCCTGTTGAAAGTAGCAATAGGCACCTCAAATATTTTTTTGAATATTGTTGTAACCTGGCAGAGATTTTATTCACCTTATATTCTGTCAGGATAAGGTACTTTCGACACTTTTGTTTGTCAATCAAAATTCCATGGTTGCGAACTTTCCAAATTGTCGCCCGATGTGGAATATTCACGTCCGGAAATTTCTTAATAAACGTCTTGCGGCACTTGCAGACATACTTAAGTTGAACGAAAGTGTCGTAAAGAAATGTTCTCTGCTTCAAAGAAAAGTTCGTGATGCACTGTTTAATACTCACGGGACACTGGTGTATCGGCCGGTCGCGCCGAACGAGGAACGCGTCGGATGAACGGGGTCCTTGGTGACAAGTTCCCGGGGAACCGAGGGCTCGATCGCTGAGGCAAGCGACGCGTCATCTTCGGAGAAAGATATAATAAACACCCGGTCTAAATACATATAAACGTGGATGGTGTAATGTATAAGAGCGGTGAACTCCGACCCCTCCATGCGACCGATCTCCATGAAAGTTTAATTATTATGTGTTTTTTTCACCCACAAAGTTTGTGTGATATTAATTTTGTTGTAACTCTACTAGACGGCGCTGCAGATCAAAATAACGCTTTATTTTAATTCAATTTCTATTCTGACTGCGATCCATCTGGTGGAGAGAAGGAGGGACAGAGAGACGGAGACAAGGAGAGTGGCAGAGATAGACTGACATACCGTCAGACGGATTGCGACGGCCAGAAAGAGACGGAGGCGGTGAGAGAGAAGGAGACGGAGAGAGGGAAAGGGAGAGGGAAGGAGAAAGAGGGAGATGAAGTGCAGAACGTCTGCCGGGTTCCGCTAGTGTAATATATATATATATATATATATATAAATATAAATTTTTCCTTATGTATAATATTTGTTTTGTATAATGTAAAATGTATATTAATAAATAGATACTTTTGTATTTGTATACGTAGAAAAACTACCAATGAATTCGCTTTAGGGGTATCTTTGCAAGAAAGTTGTTAATACGGAGGAATGAATGAGTCAACTAATTTAGAGATAATTATGATTACAGATCCGAAACATAATGTTTGGAGGACGTTATATTATAACGTTGATGGGAATATTTTCCATCTACTCAGGATTAATCTACAATGACTGCTTTGGAGCTTCAGTAAACATATTTGGAAGTAGTTGGAGTATAACACAAGATTTCAATGAAATACGTGCAAATGACTTCATTGGCTTGGATCCGGCCGTACATTACTCTGGAACGCCGTACCCTTTTGGAATGGACCCTTCTTGGGACGTAAGCACTAACACTACGTAAACCTTCCAACTTCCATAACAAATATTTCCTCTTAAATTATTTTGAAAATGTTTGTATCGTGAATTATTGTATTCTACAGAGACGTTCTTTGATCATTTGGGTTTAATATATCTCTTTAATTTTTTTCAGCCGGCTCAAAATAAAATTATCTTCTTCAATTCATTTAAAATGAAGATATCGGTAATTTTCGGTGTTCTACACATGGTTTTTGGACTAATATTAAGCGTTTGGAACGACTGGTATGATTTACACCTGGTGTCAAAAATAATTGACATCTAATTTTTTCTGCTATTGTATTATCACATTTAATTCATTTCAGCTATTTTCGTCAATTTTCGAATATAGTGTGCATGTTCGTACCTGAAATCCTGTTTATGTGCGTTTTATTTGGATGGTTATGTTTTCTTACGGTCTTCAAATGGATAGCTTACGGAGCAAACAAGAGTAAGTTTCGAAGATTAATATTAATTTTATACACAGCCTGATAATTGGTAGCGAGCGTATTCGTTAAGCACTAACTTGGGCGCCTGCGACACACGCGCGCTGCTTTTCATGAACATTAGAATACAATTTACCCACTGCTTCATCAAACCCTGTAGTGTGTGCAATTAAGGTATACGCTCGTTCGATCGACCTCAGTAAAGTACCCCCTAAAAATATTGTTTTAACTCGCCGTGCGTGAAACGCGGTTTCTCGTGCTTGTTTTCCGTGCGCGAAACACCTATTTTTTCCAAAGTGTGCGAAACATCGCGAAGCGTGAGCGAAACATCTGTAACGATTCACAATTGTCTTTCGTCTTGACGACGTCTTTGTTTACTATTTACAAACAATGGTGCTGCGACACTGGCTGGAATCCGTTTACTTTTATACAAGTTAGGAATTTCTAGTTATTTGGTATTTAATTTATATATTTTTTGCATTGCACTACCTGCTATTCCTTATGCATTACCTTATTGCATTGCGTTTCGCTCACGGCGTGTTAAAAAATTGTTGATGCAACATGAGCGCGAGGCGATTCCCGCGCCTTCGAATACACCAATGATTTTACATGGTCCCACAAGTAGAGATAGAGAGGGGCCAGATCAGGTGAGCGTGGAGGCCAAGCAATTGGGCTACCTCTATTCATCGGTTAGAAATCCTTTGATCCAAGTATCGTCGAGCCGTACGTCTGAAGTGCGCAGGAGCACCATCATGCAAGAAGTGAGCGGGTTGACAACTGATGAGTGGAGTGTCTTCATAAAGATGAGGTATGGTGTTTTCCAGGAAGTTTGTGTACGCATGCCCCGTACGCAAGTATCTCTACAAGTACATGGGGTCCAACTAATCGATCACCAATGAAACCGGCCCACATCTTCAGGACGAACCGCACCTGTTGATGAGGTGGAACGCACGTGGGTTTTCATATGCGCATACATGCTGATTGTGGAAATTTGTAAGGCCATCTCGTGTGAACTGCATCTGTAAATAATAAGGCAGGAACATTCGGATTTGCACCACACTGCTGCAACTCGCTAACTCGTGCTGGGTAATTTGCTGGTGACAGGGCCTGTACGCATTGCAAATGAATAGGATACAACTGATACTCTTTCAACAGTCTCCAGACAGTCTTAGCATGAGGAACATTCACTTGCAACGCTAACCTTCGAGTGCTGATAGGAGTCGTGTCCACGGCGTCCAGATTCTCCTCTACATCTGGAGTTGCAGATCGCGGTCGTCCCCCCCTCCAAACCAGGAGTTTTAAATTTTCCTAGCTCGCACAGACGGCCATGGAGACGTAAAAATGTCTGCCGATCTGGACATTGTCCACTGTGGGTACAAACGACAAGCCAGTGCATCATTGCCGTCCGCCTTACGGTACATGAAGTGCATGTCTGCCAGCTCCTGATTTGAGTACATGATGCACAGTCGAACACTAATCTCAGCACTGAAAGTAACCTTCGCCTCGGAATGAACTGTCAGAGTGTCCTGTTAATGTTTCCTTTCACGGTAACGATCTGCGGAAGAAACAGCGTTCCGGTGAATTTCAGCGTTGTGGAGGTCATTAGTCAGAAATGAAGCATTCCGGGCACGGGTACTGAATTATTTTGATTGTCTACATATACACCAGAAAGTGTGCCCCTTATTTTTTTAAACAGCCTGTATACTGCTTCCCATGATCCGACCAGCAAGTAGTCTGTAAATAAATATATTTTAACTTTGTACACGTAAGCTTCGCGCGGCTCGAATCCATTAATTCTCGGCTATCAGAGAGACGCCGCGTCGTTTGCAGGGGTGCCGACGTTTCGCGGCCTCACTGCCCAGAGGAAGTCTGCGACATGTCAGGCGAAACGTCGGCACCCCAGCCAACGACGCGGCGTCTCCCGGATAGCCGAGAATTTATATTTTAACTTTAGTAAATAATCAACACATGCGTGTGTTATTTAGTGGCAGTGTTTAAGTTCTTAGTTCTTGTTTTGTGAGCATGCCCTGACTCCCTGTTTCAGCGTTTTTGAGGGGGACATCATGCGCCCCGTCAGTGCTCATCCACTTCATCAGCATGATTCTGCATAAGCCCGTGGAAGTGGGCGAGGGGTGTGATGCGGAAATGTTCGAATATCAGGTAGTGAAAGACAGATGTAATAAGTTCGTATTTGTGTGCTGTTATGTCGTTCTAAAACAATCAGACAGAGAAACGAGAAGTCACTCTTAATGCCGGCGTCCGTTAACTATTGAACGGTCCGTTATCTGTTAAGAATAATGGAAACAAATGAGTTGTAGCGAAAGAAAGCAGATTAGTGTATTTTTTCTCAAAGAAATTGTATATCTTGCTTTCTTTTAAGAAGATGGTATTATGAAAAGTATTGAATGACAAAGCTTGAGCCTCGGCTTTCACCTCCGTTTAACAAACAACGTCCGTCATTTGCTGTTTGGTCTCCTAACCACGTTAATAACTATTAACGTCACTAACTATACATGATACATTGATTGTTATCGTTTTTTTCGATACGGACCTTGATACACATGGCATTACTTCGCTGATTGAGTGGGTCGTGCTTCCCACGCAAAAAGGAACGGTGGAATGACTCGACAAGTTATTTCATAATGGCAAAACTAAAAGGGAGCTATGGGACGAAAAATGAAAATAAGCGCAGATAACATGCATTACGTATTTATTTCATGAGAACAAAGAGGGACTACAACAGCTCTTCATTTCTTGAATTATTTGCAACGGTTGTGTTAAATTATTTAATTGCAATTTAATTGTACGAACAAATACTTAAGCAGCTTCTCGAAAAACTCTCTTCACCAAACAAGCGCGTGAGAAAAGAAGTATATATACCATTCATTGGAATTAAATGGTAATTTATTTACTTGAAAGAACTTAACTTTATATTTGCGATTAGGAATTCATTCTGTTGTGAGAGCGATGAAAGTTACATTTTGATTAATTGCTTTTGTATTTTACTTACATCATTAGGCTATTAACACTGTGTAATGAAGTTATGATGTGGATATGCCAGCTCTGATTTCTTTCACCTCGGCTTGCAGCTATCTATAATTATTTCAATGAATAATGCTTTGTTACAAGTACAGAGAGCAGTGTTTTGTGATAAGCTAATTGTGTTGTCTACCTCTATTTGTTTGTTTATTTTGCAGTTTACTATTCAGAAACTTCTGTTCCTCGTAGCAGTGATTTGTATCCCTTGGCTATTGTTAGCGAAACCAATGGTCGTCTTTCATCAGATGGCACAGGTGAGAAAGACTATAAAAATGCTCTAAACTATTTTCACTAACTATTTTTTTCACTTAATATTTTATTCAGTTTTACTTCCTTCTAAGTAGTGTAAATACTGGTGCTACAGAATTTGCACAGACTTTCTCGTAGTAATGTTTTCTATTTTCTTTGGCCTGCGTTAGCTATTTGAACTTGCACCATACTATTGGCAGCTACCATCTATCGTCGCCTAAAGTACATTTATTTGAAAATTTGAATCTTCGTCAACCGGGTGGCAGACCCCAAATGGCCATCTCCCCATTCCCTCTATACTCCCACACTAGGCCATAATATTTCTAAAATAATAGAATGTGATAAGAACAGCGACAACATAAATAACGCAGCTGAGAGCAGATAAAATTGCGTTTCTAGAAGAACGTTTACGTGATAGCGATTCTTGTCACCAGGGTACTGAACTACATAACAATCACACATTTTCTTCCGTGGTCATTGTCGCACTGCGAAGTTTGCCATCAGTTTCTGTATGCAGAGAATGGTGAAGTTTCTAGTAATTAAAATTCGTAGGTAAAAGGCCGTACGGGTGATGGCAGATTTGGGTATTTAAGACTTTTTCTTTTCCTTGTAACCAGTAACATTAATCGTACAGAATTAACAATATTCGTAGTGGTTATGTTCATACTATATTGAATTCCGTTTTCCTTTGTTCCAGTACAGTTGTCCCTTCGTACAACTATTTAAAGCAACGTGGGGCACAAACGATTTATCCGTGTGTCCAACTTTCACTTTGCAATATATAAAGTATGGCTTCTTCGCGATTGAATTTGGTTTATGTACATTCCCCTTACATTGGCCTTACTTACAAAGTGCACTTTCCTTCAGTACTTCCGCATTGATGCTCGCTTATTAAACGCAGTGAAAGAACGGGAGGTTCGTTAAGAAGAAACTCCCTGAAGTTCAATAAAGAAGCAGCGTTGTAAACCTTTGGGGCCCCTTCTCACTTCGCCACAGAAGCGCACTTCCGACCGCCTCCGCTCGAGCACAGCATTGGTTTGAATGGAGGTCTTCCCACGTGCAGCGGGCTCGCGCCGTTGGACGCCGGACCCTCGCCACGAGAAACGCAGGAGGCCATACGCTCCACCACTAGTAGAACACAGCTTTAAATGATGGCAATCTCACTGCGCCACGGTCGCGGCGTTTTACCTACAGCGGTCCCTTTGTTCGTTGTCGCCGGAGGGTTAGCGAAACCTACCCCTGCAGAACCCACCCCTGCAGAACCCACCCCCTTCCACGGCGGGCGGCGGTGCGGACTGTGGGCGTGCAGGCGTAAAGTCCCTCGGAAGAGCCCTGCCGCTTGTTCGAAGCGCGCCGCTGTAGCGACGTGTGAAGGCACCTTAGGGCGCCTTCACGTCGCCACGGCAGCGCGCTTCCCTCAAGACTCTCGCCAACGCGAAGCGAGGAGGGCGTGCCCGCCACCCGCTAGGCAGAGCACAGCTTTAAGAGCGCTTCCACGTCGCGAGCGGCAGCGCGCTTTCGTCAAGACAGCTCGCTACGCGAAGCGGAGGAGGGGGTACGCGCAAACGCTAGCAGAATACAGCTTTAAAAATGGTAGCTCTTCCCTGTGCCGCGGTCGCTGCGTTTTACCCTGCTGCGGTCCCTTTGTCCGTCGTCGCCGGAACGGTCGGCCAAAGAGCCCTACTGATAGACGTACGTTGCGCTGCCGTGGCGGCGTGGGAAGGCGCCCTTATTGTCGGCGGCCCCCCAAAGCCCCGAAGGGGAACTTAACAAAACCTTGCTTGTGCATGAACCGTCGTAGAACGAGTAGCCTTTTCATCGTGTTGTATAAAGAAATGTATTACGATTGACTTGAGTCCTTTGTAGGGAGCAAGTGAGATTGCGTTACGATGGCTTTTCAATTACGTTAAGTGAATCGATATCGTTTAAATTCATGCATTAAAACAGTTAGTGCAATAACAGAATGTGGCGGACCAACAACTATAGCTTTTTTCCGGCGGATTTCCTTAATCTTACAGTTGTCACGCTCGAAATTGGAACGCGAGGGTTGCGTGGGTGCATATTTGGTAGTCCATTTCAAAAATCTTATTAATAATACTTTATATCGGATGGCAGGCAATGGAACTGTAATTAACTAATTATCGTTTTTTAGTTAGAACGTCTTACTATAGTTGCGTAAATGTAGTCTAAAATACTGACCTGTTAGAAATATTTTTTTTTTTAACGTTGATATATTAGCAATTTATGTGAAATGGCTGGGCACAAAAGTGCACATTCTGCCTTTTTAAATAAATACACCCAAATATATGTAAGGTAGATGTTTCGTTTTGCAGCCTTGTGCTCTATATGGTTGCGCTCATGTTTATCCTTTGGCATTACGATTATTAAATAAGCACTTTTTGAACAAAATAAATTTAAACATTTGGAGTCTCTTTTCTGAATGTGTTTCAATGTCACATCAGATGAACATCACAACAGTTATTTTCTTGATGTGTCTGGCAAACCCACAGGAATACAGATATCTGCAGTACTGTCCATGCTGCTTGTTTCGTTGCACGTCGACAGAGATATTAACGTCGACAGAGATATTATGCTTGCTCTTTGGTGATTCTAGTGGACGCCCTTCTCGTATTCCCCAGTAGAAATCACCCGCGTGTTCTTATTGCTGTGGGCACAGTTCTCCCTTCGATCTTCCTTTCCTTTCTGGTTTCATAAGGTTACAAAGCGAGATCCTTTATAAAAATATCCCCCTAGTGCACTTTTCTCTACGTTTTCTCCTTAGCATAAACAGTCACAGCATTGGATGTCTGCTTTAGGTCAGACACCAACCGCCGGGTGGGTCGGCATGGATTACAATTGTAATCAAACTGTTTCCAGGCGAATCGGTCGTCTCATTTGAGTCATATTTTGGGCTGGTAATTCAGTAGCTGGGGCCTTCTTCGATAGGTATGAGAAAGCCAATGTCAAAATATTGTTCAAACTATCGCTGTAACAAGCAAATGAATAAGACTGGATTTTCCATAGAATCCACGCGACCCTAAAGGGTTAAGGGTTGCCTACTTCCATGTTTACCGCAGATTCATTTTTAGCGCAGGGTAATCAATAAATAATCCAAACAATCTGGCTCCATGTAAGGGCAGGTTAATAGACAATTTTTCTGGCCCGAGCGTTAAACGACATGAGAATAATTGCAGGGTGACAATTAATTTATCATTTACATAAGAAAACCGGCGAAGGTGATGTTCCAGAATCGACTCTTGAGAGCTTCGAGCATCGACAAAGGAGGTCCGGTTCTTTGCTGTGATACTTCGTATCAAAATGCCATTCTGTTGAATATTACATGCGGCTCAAGTTAAATTTAGCGTTTCTTATATCAAAAACGATAAATAACAGTTTGCTTTTGTTAATAGGAAGAAAAAAGTGAAAAGAAGAAAGAAGAAACGGAAAACGTAAGAAGATCAACCTAAGGGAGTGGAAGTGAGTGGCAGTGAGGAAGAAGAGGCGATGCTATCACGACGAATCCCCGGGCTCGGAAGACGAAAGTGGGAAAAGGGAAATAGAAACATAAGATGAATACAAAAGGAAAGGCAAATTAGAAACTGAAGTGAGCGAGAGAGATAAAAGGGAACAAGAAGAATATTTACAAGGGGAAGGGGGAAGGAGAACATAAGGAAAAGACAAGAGAGTAAAAGAAATGAAGAAATCCTAGAATTCGGTGAACGCCGAAAACCCGAAAGAAAGTGGTGATGATAATTCGCAGAAGCAGAGAATCGCAGAAAGAAAAGAAAAGGTTCCGAGAGCATCAAACAAAACGGAAGTTATTTTATTCACCAAGGAATCCAGCACAATTGAATACATCTTGGCAGCCCATTTCCGCATACAGCTTCGTATTTACGGCTCTGGCTCTCTCGTTAGCCCACTCTCGGGTGAGTAAATCTTTAATTGACTTCCTTGAAATAAAAACATGAGTTAAGTGACATGTTTGTTTGATAATACAGTGCGTCAGGAAATTTCTCCGCGCCGGCGCATCAAAGGGTCTCGCTTATAAAAATTACATGTAATGTTGCTAGGCAACCAGATCACTGGAAACCAGTATTGGGCTAACACTTCCAAGAATCTATTATGATTGTGGGTGAGTAACTCACTTAACGGTTTTGCAAGCTTCAGCTTGGTGCTACCAACCTAATTCCTGATTGCAAGCACTCTCACCAGTCAAGGTTGCCACTGGGCGGAAGACTTACTGGCGTGCTATATTATCTGTTCGTTCGTACAAAATAATGTGTGTGTTTATTGAAATATATTTATTACAAAACTTTCAAATGTGTTGTGGAAATGTTGCTGAATACATTGATAAAATTTCAGCTTGACGATGCAAATGTGTTTCCTTATTAATTTTCGTTTGGTTTGGAGTCTTTTGGGCCATTCTCACAATTGCATCCTTGTTCTTATGGATGTCTTTTCAGCTTTCGTATCATACACTCCGATTAGCACTGTAAGTAATAGCAAATACTTTTTTTAATATTTCAGTAATTCCTGTATATGATTATTTAATTTCGTTTACCCTGAACACTTTTTATCATTCTTTCGCAACCCCATAAACGGGGCAAAACGCATGGAATTTTTAATCCTTGAAAGGAAACATAGCGAGAAGATTCCCATTTATTTCTGCGGTGATTTTATGAGATTCGCTAACCACAAGCCTTTTTACGCTTCTGTATTTCTTGGTATTTTCTTCCAATACAATGGAGGACTTTTTTCTCTCCTGAAAATGGTTGTTCGGGAAATTCCATTCTTCAAGATCATGAATGATATCTTAGTTTTTATCCCTGCCAGGACAAGCTGTTTTTATTAATTAAAGAGGTGCTGATCTTCGCATCAAATTCCTTCAGGTAGATGTCAAAAAGTATGGAAATGCCATTGTAACAAGCCGTGGTAAAATTATAATTTTTAAATTAATATGCAATTCTTCAATAACAGTGAACCCTCCTGCGCCAGAATACCTCTA